TCAAAAATTTTGTTTAAATCACTTTACGGTACTCATGAGATCTTAAACATAAACGAGAGATTCAATTTTTGTATTATGAAATACTTATTATGGCTGAATACATTCGAAGTTAAATGCGCCTGAAGGAGAAAGTGCTTAAGTTTCATAGTACACCATAGATTCTGGCATATAAATGAATATACAAATAACTTATATAAACCGTATTCCTCCACAAATTATATAAAAATCATCGTAATGTCATCTTTGCGAAACAATTATTGATATGTTTCACAATTCTGATGTGTCACGTAGTGCCCAATTCTGAAAGATTAACTACATTAATATTACTGAATACATGTTAACATAATATGTACAAAACTCATGTATTTTAAAGTTTATTTTTATATTTTGCTTTTATTATAACCATCAACCATTATATGTGTGACAAAAAAGCTGTTGTATTCTTAAATTTTGTTTTTTTTAATTTTTGCAATATTTAATATAAATAATATTTAAATAAAATATTGGCGTATATTTAAATAAGAAAATCTTAGTGCAGCAAAGTTGCATATTTTATTTTTTCCATTTTATAAGAATATAAAAATTTTAAATCTAACATCTATAAATAATCTACAAAATCTGACAAAAAATTTGATGAATTATTAATTGAATTATTTATATAACAGAATTTTTGACAAAATTCTGTCATAAATTTAAAAATAATTTCTACATGGATTAAAAAAGTTAATACATTTTGTGGATATTATTCGCGTCATGATACATTGTTAAATACCAACATTCTGTGAACATTGCAGGATTCTTTATCAGAGCGAGGAGGGACTTGATAATGACTTACGAAACATTGGCATTTAACGATATACCATGATACGGATAATACTCGTAAATGTACTAATTCTTTCTTTTGAAAATAGTAACTGCAGAAACTTCGAAAGTATTCTACGCGAATTGTTTATATAATGTTTTATACAAACTTTTTTTTATATAGACAGTATAATGAAAACTAATAAAAATTAGAAAACAGAAAAAAGGCGGTGTACATATATTCCTGCATAAATCATGCTTTATTGTACATTATTTAATTTTAATAATTACTTATTTAATAATAAAATTAACATAAAATAGTCTATCGCTTTGATGTTGCACAAATTACCCATTATTTAGATATTAGATACATTACGTATAGTTTATGCGTAGATATTGATTACATATTTTACACATTTGTATAAATGTCCAGCGCTCTTTGTGCTGTCGGAATTAAACAAAACTACAATACTAGCAATACTTTGTCGATAACAAAGTTTCTTAGCAGAAATATAACAAAATACAGAATCTGACATTATTAACAGAGAAGAAAAATATCGAATGATGTTCAATTTGAAATTTTGTTCTCGACATTGAATTGTTTTTTATTGTCTAGTTATATAATTTTCCAGAAAATATGTACGGAAAGACTATTATAATTTTATGATATCTGAATTTTGTAAAATAATTAAATCAAATAAGAAAAATTTGATTTATGTGAAAAATGATAATTCTATTTAAACCAAATTGTCACTATGTAGTTCATAAAGTTTTTGAGAAATAGCAAATAAAATTCTAATTTATAGATTTAAACAAAAATAACTTGCAACTAACTTCAAAAATAATCTCTTCACATTAAGTAGAAAAAAATGATTATATTTAAGAAATGCTGTAAGGAATTACCAAATAAATAATAAACTTTGAAAAAATACTGACATAAAAAATATTGTATGGTTAGAAAGATTTATAGAAATTAGATTTATAGAAATTAGAAATTAGATTTATAGAAATTTATAGAAACTAAGAGGCAATCTTAGAGGCAATCTGTCACTAAATAATCTTTTACCTTTAACCAGAAAAATTCAAAATTTAACGAGGCAGAATAGTTCCATTATAATGGAACGTTCAATACAGATTGGAAATTCTGCATCAATTATTTTTTTCACGTACAGTTTTTCAATCGACCATTGTTTTACATAGATTAACATAATCCCATGACGTAAGTGCAACACTAAGGTGACAATCGATAACGTTCGAGAATGATTATACCCTCTTATTGATTCGTCGAGCCGCGCAATGGACAATTACCTCTAGTTTGTTTAGCCTTTGGTTTCATTTTAGTCACGGCCCTGAACCAATACAGTCGATCTATCATTGTATTCATCGAGCGGCGGCTTCACTCGGTGCCGACCGATCGTTCTCCGCATATTTTGAATCGCGTCAAATGGGGGATTTTTCGCGCCTGCGCAGTAGCGCGCGGACGTCACGTGATCCTCAGTAGTGTGTATATTTAATTGGACGCGTGCTAGTTCCTGTCATTCGGAGTACTCCGAAAAGGAATATATCGAAGCATACATCGAAGCAAATAACGCGAATATTAATATTGACCAAATAATGCAATTCATATATGGCTGCAAAAACATTCATTAATTTATATCCATCTGTAATGTTAATGATTATGTGAAGATCAACATTGCAAGGACAATGGAGAAATTATGAAAAGTATCATTGTAGCGTTCGATAACGAATAAAATATGATATAAATATTGTAATTCCGTAATAATAGTTTTGTAATTTTTTTATTTAAATAGTTTAGAAAAATTGCGAAATAAAAATATGGCGGAGAATACTTGTTAGAAATAAGAAAAGAAATTGATGTTTCTCGTTGCGTCTAACAAGTTCGAGTCTGCAGTCACGTGGCCGCCAGTGGCGCGGGGTGGGGGGGGAGCGGGCGGGAACGGTCGAGTGGTGGGGAAAAGTAAGGTGGGGGAAAGTCCCTCCATCTAACCATCACTGGACTTTCGCGGCGGACGTTTCGAGCGGCGTTTTCCCGACGGTTGACACGCGGCAAGTAGCGGTCAAATCAGCACGCGCGCCAATCCGTGGAACGCGAACGGGAATTCGCGACGACGATGCGTCGGCAATAATCGTCGGATCGCACGACCGACCTCCGCAATTGGACGCATTTGCACCATTCTCTGATCGCGGTGCGATTTCCAGTGGACCTCTTTCGATCCTCGTCCGAAACACCGTCCGTACACTTTGCTGCGACGTGTAGTGCGAAGTAAGGAAACCCCATGAAATTCTCTGTAGCTTTAAGTGCTGTGACAATTTTTGCGATGACGATCTCATTGGTACGATTCTAACGAACTTCTGTCGCGTAAAGCTTTTCAGAGAAATGCATATAAATTGTCGTGCGCATGTACAAAGGGATATCCTGAAGATATCGCGATATTTTTAATGTATTTATGGCGCATTTCTGTTATATAGGATATATATGCATATATTTATATATCAAATACATATTTATTCGCATGAATATATAACATATATATTCATGCG